ATTCTCAAGACGAGGGAACCGCAATCGAAGTTAGCTCCGCTCCTACCTTCGGATTCGATGATTTTGATCTCAATGAGGTAAATCAGCCTAACCCTTCTGATGATGATTTGATGATGTTTGATGAAGAAGAAGAATCGAGTGGCTCTCAACACTCAACCTCCAAGCCTAAAGAGAAAAAGAAGAAAAAGAAGATGGATGTGTCCAGAAAAGAATTGCTCAGTCTACAAGCCAAAGTAGATCAGATTCTAGCTGCGGTCAAGCCCACTCAACCACAACCTGAAGACATTCCAGGACCGCAGTCCTTAATTGAAAGAATCGAAAGACTGGAAACCCGTGAACGACTGGCTGCTGAGCGCATTTCCCTGAAAGTTGAAATGGGAATCCGATCCCTGGATACAATTCACCAGGCTGATCATACACAATTCATGGCTGCTGCGGAGCGCCTCATCTCTGAGGTATCCGCAATCAAGGCAGATTTACAAACAGCCATTGCGGACCAGTCAACTCACTCACAAAAGCTGATAGCTGAGACTCACACTGCCTATGAGTCCACCATCTCAGTCCTCAACTCCCCATCAACAGACTTCAACGATCTTTATCGTCAAATTTTCATGGCCCCGAGATTCTTCAACTTACAAAGGAGATTCATCGACTACTCTTCAACACCGCCATCCCAGACAATCAGCAACTGGCTGATGCTCTTAAAGCTCAATTCCGGGAGGTGTGTGCCAAAGTCGATGGTCTCAAACAATGGCTTGAGGATGCTCCTATGTTGCATTCCTCAAGAGAGGGAAGTGATGAAGACCATCATTCAAACAGCGCCTCTCATCATAGGAGCTCCCCCATCATAACTAAAAAAATTCCCTCACCGCAACCATCTCCTCATCAGACACCACCGCATCAGTCTCCACCGCAACAGAAAATCACTCAAGAAAGTTCTCCTGAGCGACCGGAGACTCCTCCCCACTTCAAGAATCTTGCATCCAACATGTCATCCGAACACTCCAACGACTCTCCCACAACGAAACAGAAGAAAGCAGATTGGAAAGCAGCCAAGTTTGCTGAACTCATCTGGAGAGAAAACGGATTCGACATCACCATGGATGAATCCTTAGTCAATTCCTGGATCAATCCCCACCGAAGACTGCTGGATGATGACTACAAACCCTACCTTACTTATGCTGAACCCCCCTCTGACGGTTACTGGGATGTTCCAATCTCCCCAAATGCTAAATACTTCACTGTATTTGAGCAGTTTGACCGTAGCCTACCTGATCACAAGAGACTGCCTATGGAATTCGAAAGACTCAATCGATTCTATGCCAAACATGCTTCTTCCATAGAGAAAATCTGGTCTAATGATAGACCATCCGCAGTCAAGAACTTTAAGCCCCGGAAATTCATGAAAGCTGACTTCATTCAGTATACTCTTACAAGAAGGAATCAGGACTACGTCCGCACCCAAGCTGACTTCCCATGTATGAATCCAGAAGAAGTCTTCCTGATAGCAAAGGTGTTCCAAAACAAAAGCGAGAAGTATCCAAAGATGAAGATAGCACTTGAAAGGGCAAGCACATTTCTGAGGGAAACGTCTGTGACTTTGCAAAGATTGATGCAGACAATTGCCAAAAAGTTCGATCTACCACCACTTGATCCTGCACCGATGCCTACCGAAGGTTATCAAGAGAGATCCCTAGGTGCAACAAACTTCCCAGAACTTGGAGTCATTTTCAAAAGGAAGGTCGATAAAATCAAATACTTCATTCCTATGACTGCCATGAATCGTCTCACAAGAAAGCAACTTGAAATTTGTCGAACCGCAGTTGAAAGATCAAAAACACACGACTGCCGAAGTCAAGTTCGAAATTTTAAGAAGGATCACATGGTTGGAAAATATCAGAAAGTTTTGGTGGATTCTGATCAAGTTCTTAAAACTTGATAACTGAAGAGAAGTTAAAGAGGTCACTTAGGGGGAAATTGTTGAATCATAAAAGTGACCCTCTTGAACTTGAGCTACCGCAGCCCACAAGGATCCGCAGTCAAAGCTTCATCAGCAACCTCATCCGAAGTCATCATCAACCGACAGTTTTATCTACTTAGTTTAACTTTATCTACTTTCTTTGTAGTACTCTCTATTGTCCAATATGCCTTGCATGGCTATTCTTAGAGATTTGATCCAATGTAGAGATTTGATCCATGTAATTCCTGAGTCTATATATATATATATATATAGATATATTTATATATATAATAGATAGATATATATATATATATATATATATAGAATATATATATATATATATATAATATATATATATAGCTCAATCTTTCTAATACAAAATCTATGCTATCAATTACATCTCTCAATTCTATCTTATTATGCTCTTAAATCTCTCTTACTTTCAAAGTTACTAGAACATAACTGAATATTATTTCTCTTCGAAGCAAGTCATTCGTGACTTAATCACTAAGTTTGATCTCACTTACTAACTTGGTCTGAATGCATTCCATGTTATGAATCAACTTATGTGTATACTTGATATATCACCTGCTGTCATTTATATTTCCTTACATTTCCGCAATTAACTCTCTAATTATCTAACTCGTTAACTTATTATTATTGTTGAGCTTTTAGATCCTTTGAGATAAACTATTCCGCAACTATACTTGTTCTAACGTTTATTCAAGTGTGTCTCAAGTTTTTCTCTCAACAGAGCCTTCTCACTATACTTACCTAGAGTGGTAATCTCTGTGTGACCAGAGGGTCTTATGGCTATATTGAGTATTGGTGATATCCTGCATTATGTCTTTGTGATTTATGATGTGTATTATTCTGAGCTTACTGAGTTAGGACCGGAGGGTCCCACTGAGACACATTGACAGGAGGGTCTTATCCGAGCATAGCCATGAGAGGCTAATGAGTTATGTTTGGTATTTTGGGGAATTCACTAAGCTTTGTGCTTACCGTGTTATGTTTTATGTGTTTCAGGTACTTTCTCAGGATCACGGAAGGGCTTGGCTTGATTGTACACACGAGCGGAGTTACATTTGAGGATCTTGGATTGTGTTTAAAACATTTTCTGAATATGTGTTTTTGAAAATATTGTCATTTGGGGTTTTGTGAACTATGTTATGAGAATTACATGATTTTTGAAATGAAAATTTTGTTTGAAAATTTACGGTGTTACACTTGGCCAATTTTTCCACTGGTACTGGACTTGTTTTTGAAGGACTTGGTTTCACAGGACTAGGTTGATCATCCTTCTTTGATCCTCTGCGTTTCTTCGAAGGACCTTCTTCAGACTTTTTCAACAACACTCCAGTCTGAATGGATGGACTGATAGTCTGTAAGTAAGCTACCAAAATAGGGTTTGATGTATCAACTTTACTAAGCATCGCATCTGGGATACGAGCAATGGAAGGAAACACATCTAGACTGTCTTTGGCGGTTTTGGGATAATGATAAGTTGAGAATTATGTTGTTTCTTCGCCTTCAGGAAACATAATCCCTTCCTTCTCATAAACGAATTGTAATATTAAGCTCCAGTATCGAGCACAAGAAATCCCATTTACATCATTCGTATTGCCAATACTTTTGACAAACTCATTCCAGATTTGAGTTGCATAGTCCACCTGTAAATCATAGTAAATCCCTGCTACCATTGCATACACTTCCAAACGAGCTTTATCCAACCCCACACATCGACCAGTCAGACAAAGAAGGTATATTCCAAATAGGAAGTTCCAGATATAGGGCACTCCAGACTTTTTAAAATCACTAACTTTGGTAAGAATAGATTGATAACCCATCTCATTGAACATATAAATGACTTGCTCATTCGTGACCTTGTAGAAAGGTTCATCATTTGGGATATTCAGAATCTGAGCAAAGAGTTTCTTGGATAACCTGAATTTCTTTTCATTCACCAATTGAAAAGTCACGATCTTCATTGTCTTGCTGTAAGTAGCCGTGCAACCAGCAAGTGACAACCATGAAAGTGGTACTGAGAATGAATTGAACATTGCATTCGACATCACGAAATTCTGGAGAGCAACGATTAGCATCTGTAAACCTTCCGGATAAGCATCGACATCTCCAAGAACTTGGTAGTTAGTACTTTGGATCTTCATGATTGGTTGGGATGAAACATCTTCACTGGTTTGAGATTGCTTGGCCGCCATTGTTAGGGTTTTGAAGAACTTGAAGAATTACAGAGAGAAAATAACACAAATCGTTTGAGAAGATTAAGTGTGTGTAAAGTTGGAATAGAATCCCCAAATCCCTTTTTATACGTACACCAAATTTGAATTCCAAACAGTTTGCGCATTAAATGGTAAGCCACGTATCATCCAGAAAAGTGGAGCTAGAGTCGTAAAGATAGCCACGTGTGAAAAAGTGATTATCACTTTTACCTTAAAAACCGCATAGTAACCAGAACTAGGGATGGCAAAAAGTCCGAACCCGACGGGGGAACCCGAAACCCGATCATTTCGGGTCGGATAACGGGTCAATTAACATAAATTTAAAAAAGGAAAATTGCATATTTTAAGGGAAAATAGATTCTATTAATTTTAAAAATCTGATTGTATGGATGATAATTCTCCTAATTCGGAAATTCTTACGGAATATGTTTATCAATATATTGAAAAATAACAAATATGATTGAACCATACAAGAATACACATTCTGACATAATATATATTTTGATTTAATGAACTTCTTGAAGAATAACAAAATTTTGGATATAAGTTAAAAAAAATTTCATTACATTCTTAGAAAAGAAAAAAAAATTATATATTATTCTATGAGAATGTTACGCTTATTAATAACAAAAAACTCAATATATAAATCATTCTACCAGAATATACTATTACATATATTTTTTCATTATATTGTATATTATTCTGGTAGAATAATCCATTCTTTTTTGGAAGATTGGTGGTCATTGTTCATCTTCATCCCATACAATGTTCATCTTCAAGATTCTATTATGACAAAATCAGAATTCAACATTCCATTCCAGTAGAATGTTGTAAGTTTCATATGTACCATGTTTTGCTTTGATATCTCTCGTTTCGTTCCCAGCCAAGAAAACAAGAACATTCTTGTTCTTGATTTCATGTATACCTGCAAATGAGAAATACAACCACTCATTGTTATTACTTCATCTTATTTCCATGGCAATTTCAAGCAATAAACACCACATCGAATTCTGTCAAGCAGTCATGGGTCCATAGCTCAGTGGTAGAGCATTTGACTGCAGATCAAGAGGTTACCGGTTCGAACCCGGTTGGGCCCTATTTTTTCTTTTGTTGTAATTTCGGTTTTTGCCCTTATTTCTACTTTTTTGTAATTGAGTTAATAACACCTAATATCAAAGCAGAAATTATACTTTTTGCCCTTATTTGTAATTATACTTTTTTTGTAACCACTTAATAACACCTAAAATCAAAGCACAAATTTATTCATATAACATGGAAGAGCAAATCAGAGTCATAAGCACAAAATTAGTTTAAGCTTACCAGTAACAATGTCTCTGAAGAACTCAACGGAATCTGTCAACTCAGCAGCAGTTTTGCCATTCCACTTAACGGCGAGTGACGGAATAGCTTTATCCTCCAGATACACACCAATCCCTGTGAACTTCACGAAGTTACCTTCGATTTCCATACCTATCACACCTTGCGCATGATAGAAACCACGATTTAGACGATTCAAACTCCAATTAACAATAAAATTGTAAACCTAACTGAAGTGATGAAAGTGACATGATTTTTTTGTCGGTGGAAGATCGAGTATAATTACTGATTTGAATATGGGAATTAATACGTGCGCCGGTGAGGATCAAAGTGGTGGTTGCACCAGGAGGCTTGATGGCTGGTGGAAATACGACATATTCGATCTCGAGACTGGTGGGGGACGGCGGTGGAGCCATGGTAATACAGTCGGAGTTGAACGGAGAGAGTGAGAGAAGATATTTGACTGATGACGGCTGTATATAAGAAAAGAAATTAGGTTAAAAGTGAATGCTAGCATGATTATAGGGACTATTTATGGAAGCTATTTTTCAAAATACTAAAATACCCTTGTTTATTTATTTAATTATTTAAATTTTTATTTAATTTTGATTGCCCTAGATTTATGCATACAATAACACAATACTTACTTAGAACACCTGAACATATCTCTCTCTCTCTCTCTCTCTCTCTCTCTCTCTCTATATATATATATATATATATATATATATAGATATATATATATATATAATATATATATATATATAATTTGTTCGAATCATTTTGATGTTAATTGCACGCATTTAAAGATAAAATACTTACTATGAACAATCTTTTTAGTTATTAACAATCTATTGTAAATGATCAGTTTTTATATTTTGACGTATAAACTTAAATCAAATAATTTTTAATATAACGTCCAATTTATTTTATTAAAATGATGCATCATATTTTTAATTTAAAAGGAGGCTAGAATATGTATTTTTTATAAGATATTGAGGTACTCTAAAACGGAATAAAGATTTTGTTATGAATTGTTGTAAACCTGATAAGATACCCGAAACCCGATGGGGCGCCCCGATAAGATACCCGAAAGATATCGAGGCGGGTTGGGAAACCATGCCCCTTCCCGAAACCGACCCGTTGCCATTCCTAACCAGAACGTCACATCCATCAGTCTGTTCGATAGTACCCATAGGATAAGGAACCGTCAGAACCTTCGGTATGGAGGTTGGGCTCTTTCACTTTTGGGTTGAGAAGCGAAATCATGTGCCAGACTTTCGAAATCATCAACCTGAGTTCGTATTACTCAGAACTTCAAGGATTTCGTGAGTGCAATGTGTGCCAAATAAAAAGATAAGAAGCGAAATAAGAAAATTTTGGTTCTCTGATGTCAAAAATATTTCGACACAAATGTAGTGAGATCCCAGGAAAAGATCACTTCATTATTCATCAAGAGAGATGACTAACAGCTTGTGTGGTTTCCCGTGAATTACAATCGAATATTTATTAAGGAGTATCGAATGGCATTTTTTATAAGGCTTCATGGGTGGCTAAGAATTTTGTTACATATCACATCTAAACATAAGAGTAATAAAATGTAAATGAAATTACCTGTTTGACCAGTGTAGTCAGAGGCAAGTATGCTTTGGAAAAATTTATCAAGTAACGAAGAATCTGAGTGATACTTACACTGAAATCATATTCCATAAAACAAAACTATTCCTGGATCTTGTTGGGTAAAAATGTCGTGGGTTTCGAATATTTTAGCAAGACCACTCATAAAGAAATAATATGATTTGAAGTATCGAAAAATGGTAGTGAAACAAAAGTTTCGTTAAAACCTAGAACAAAATTCCTCGTTAATTCCTTTAATGATTTGAAATTTTGGGTTTCACTTTCATCATGGTCTCATGAATCCAGATCATAAACACAGATTGTTTACATACCTATAACCTGGTTTGTTTTGACCAGAGATGTCTTGGGTATGTGTCTTTATGTGTGATCATGAAATAACTCTAGGATGAAAAAGAGGAGTTTAAGAATCGAAAGTACCTTTGCTATGATTGGACCAAGCAGTTAACTATTAACTCATATGAGAAGAGTAAGGTAGCTTAGAAACTAATGTGAATATAGCCTGCTTGGGTAGGAATCCTCAGAATGAGAGATCCATTAAGGCTTCGAAACACATTGAGTTATGGAGGCTTTGGTCGACATGCTGCAGCATGCTTCTAGGCACATCTTAACTAGTACATAGTTTCGAAGATATACCTTTCCCTCAAGCAACAGGCATGACTTATCAAAAATCTTCGCTAAAAGCTACACAATAAAACATTAAAAGAACACAAAAATATTTTTGGATTTTTGATTTTTGAAAGAAAATTACAAAAATAAGAAAATCTTTTTGAATTTTTTTTTTTTGAATTTTGAAGATGAAAAACAAAAATGAAAATCTTTTTGTTGTTTTAATTTTTAAAGAAAAGATAGTAAACATTAAAAGAAATGTAACTATTTAACGAAAATTAGATAAGTACAAAAGTAGAAAAGATTTTGTCAAACCATTGTGCATAATGTCGAAAGTGAAGCATGTCGAAGCGTTAACTGTGAACAGTAACCGTTGAATAATGTACAGTAACCGCTGAATCGACATCTTGCCACCACTTTGGCTTGTCAATCTAATGAAATCAGTCCTTGAACTGAATTCACATCTATCATACCTAAGCCATTCAGAATTCTTACGAAAGATTTTTCATCTAATGGTTTTCTAAAGATATCGGCAAGCTGATCAGGTGTCTTTACAAAATGAACTTCAATGTTGTCATCTTCAACATGATCTTTAATAAAGTGATAACGAAGAGCAATGTGCTTTGTTTTTGAATGTTGCACAGGATTGTGACAAATGCGTATGGCACTTTGTGAATCACAATACAACGAAATTTTCTTCATGTTGATTGCATAATCACGCAGTTGACTTTGAATCCATATGATTTGAGAAGTGCAAGCTGCAGCAGCAACATATTCTGCTTCTGTTGTGGAAATCGAAACACATGTTTGTTTCTTCGACTGCCAGCTCACAAGCTTCCCGTCCAAGAGTTGACATCCGCCACTTGTGCTTTTTCGATCGAGTTGACAACCACCAAGATCAGCATCTGAGAATGCTTTAATGAAAAACCTTGTTTTCGAAGGATACCACAATCCTAACGAAAATGTGCCTTTGAGATAGCGAAAAATATTCTTCACAGCAGGAATATGAGGTTCTCTAGGATTCGATTGGTACCTAGCACAATTGCACACGTAAAACATAATATCAGGTGTACTAGCTGTGAGGTATAGTAACGAACCTATCATGCTTCGATACAATGTGAGATCAACAACTGGTTTATCTAATGAAGGACTCATTCTTGTTCCAACTGCCATCGGTACTCGTAACTTTGAATTATTCGTCATTCCGAACTTCTCAAGCAAATTTCTTGTATACTTCTCTTGATTGGTGAAGATACCTTCTCTGCTTTGACGAATATTTAATCCTAGAAAATTGTTTATCTTCCCCATCATGCTCATCTCAAATTGGCTTTTCATTAAATTTCGAATTCACTTGATAAAGCAGGATCAGTAGAACCAAAAATAATATCATCAACACAAATTTGAATAAGCATGAGATGATTCCCAACTTTCTTTTAAAAGAGAGTAGGATCAACTGATCCTTGTTCAAATTTTTATTGCTTTAAAAAATTGGTAAGAGTTGCATACCAGGCTCTTGGTGCTTGTTTTAACCCATATACAGCTTTATCTAAAATATAAGAATGATCAGGGAATTTTTCATTGATAAAACCTGGAGGTTGCTCGACATACACAGTTTCTTCGAGTTCACCGTTGAGAAAAGCACACTTGACATCCATCTGATAGACATCAAAATCCTTCTGTGCAGCATAGGCTAAAAATATTCGAAGAGCCTCGAGTCTTGCGACAGGGGCAAAGGTTTCTTCATAACCAATCCCTTCTTGTTGCGAATATCCTTTTACAACTAGCCTAGACTTATTTCGAATAATGTTCCCCTCTTTATCACTTTTATTTTTAAAGATCCATTTTAAGCCTATCACTGACACATCTTTTGGTTTCGAAATTAGACGCCAAACTTTATTTCTTTCGAATTCAGCCAGCTCAGATTGCATAGAAACAATCCAATCAGGATCTTCCATAGCAATCTTGACTGTTTTTGGTTCAATTTTTGAAATAAAGGCATTAAACATACAAAATTCTTGGTGTACATTAAGTACCTCATTTTTCACACGAAGTTGAGCTCTCGTTAAAACTCCATCTTGAGGATTGCCAAGAATTTGTTCTTTTGGGTGAGTTTGCGTCCACTTATCTATTGGATGAAATGCAGGATCAAAGTCCAAAGGTGCATCTTCAAACATTTCTTCAGTTTCAAATCCTTCACCTGCATTTGACAAGTTATCATTAATATCATGAAACTCATTATTCTGATCATTCGAAACATTTGTATTATTTCCATGTTGCTCCCCCTCAACAATTGGATTATTATTAGGGTGCTCCCCTTCGACATCAACACTCATTCTTTCTATCTCCCCCTCGAAAGTATGCTCCCCCTCAATTTGAGCAGACGAATCCAAGTGCTCCCCCTCTACTTGAATATTCGTTTCAATTGGCAGACTTCGTTAACATTGGAAGAATTTGTTGATGAGAGCGAATCATTGTTATCCTATGTGAGAGTGGACTCATCAGAATGTTTCGACGCTTCAGGTACTTGATTGTCATCAGCATTAACTTCTGCATCTATAGCACGGTCTGGAACACCGAAAATCAAATCATAATCAAAATCTAACGAATTCAAAGTTTGAGATTCCTTATTTGATTCATTCATTATTGGATTTTGTTCAAAAGTCTTTTCAACTTTTTTAACATAATAATCATCAAATGTCATATTGAATGTTTCTTCAATTTTCCTCGTTTGTTTGTTTAACACCCTATAAGCAACCGAATTTTGTGAATATCCCAAGAATATCCCTTCATCAGCTTTTGACTGAAATTTCGAAATATTATCCTTGAGATTCATAATAAAGCACCTGCAACCAAAAACATGAAAAAATTTAACATTTGGTTTTCGATTGTTTATAATTTCGTAAGGAGTGATGTTAAAACGACGATGAATAAAAGATCGATTTTGAGTAAAACATGCAGTAGAAACTGCTTCGGCCCATAGATATTGAGGAAGATTCGCATATGTGAGCATTATTCTTGCTGCTTCGCAAAGTGAACGATTTCTCCTTTCTACAACATAATTCTGTTAAGGAGTGTAAGGTGAAGAGAAATTATGCAAAATTCCTTTTCAGTTAAGAATGAATCAAGAACATTGCTCTTAAATTCAGAGCTATTGTCACTCTTAATCTTTCGAACC